GACTAAACATTCTTCCTGATCTTTGATGTTTCACTATTAAGTATAACAGCAAGTATATTTTAGTAATGCTTTTTTATCCAGTTAATTCCTTTCTATTTATATATTAAACTTACCAGGAGTGGATGTTGGATTTTGTCAGATGTTTTTCTCTGTTATTTGAAAAAAAATTATATATTTTTTCTTTTAGTTTCTTAACACAGTGAACTACATTTATTTTTCAAATGTTAATATCAATTTAGTATTCCAGAGATGAACCTCACATAGTCATATTTTATACATTACCCATTTTCTGTGTTGTTATGTTTATTTTGTTAAGGTTTTTTTTTTTTTTTTTTTTTTTGCAGATGTGTTCCTAAGCACTATCTATTGTTGTCAGCATAATGCTGATTCGTTGGGGTAACTTGTAATGTTTGTCCGTTTCATTTTTTGTATAGAAGTGGTAGTATTTGTTTCTGTACCTTTGGGAACATTTACCAATAAAGCCATGTGATCCTGGAGTTTTCTTTGTAAGATGTTTATAACTACATATTTAATTCTTAAAATGAATATTTGGTTATTCAGGCTGTATCTTTATGCTTTAATAGGTTCAGTATTTTACCCATTTTAAGGAACCTGTCTTTCGCCTATATTGCTGAATTTGTGGGTGTTAGTTGTTCACAATACTCACTATACTTTTTTTTTTTTTTAATATTTTAACTTATTTGCTGTGCTGTGCTTATTCTGTCAGTTGTGCCTGACTCTTTGCGACCCCATGGACTGTAGCCCGCCGAGCTCTTCTATCCATAGGGATTCTCCAGGCAAGAATATGGAGTGCTCTCCTCCAGGGGAATCTTCCCAATCCAGGAATTGAACCCAGATCTCCCACTTTGCAGGCAGATTCTTTACCAGCTGAGCTACCAGGGAAGCACAGTCTGTGCTGGGTCTTAATTGTAGGATGTACGATCTAGCTCACTACTAAGGATTGGACCTGGGCTCCCTGTGTTGGGAGTAGGGAGTGTTAGCCATTAGACACCAGGAAAAGTCCTCTTATCCTTTTAACATCTGTAGAAGCTATAGTGATACCACCTCTAACATTTTTTATATTGATAGTTTGTATTCCCTCTCTTTTTATTTTTCTTATCAGCCTGATAAGAGATTCAGTTGCTTTTAATGATCATCTCTAAGAACCAACTTTGGTTTCCATGATTTTCTTTATTTTCCTGTTTTCTTTTTCTGTTTCTGGTATCTGCTTTTTCCTTTCTTCTCTGTTTACTGTGGTGGGTTTCATTGTTCTCTTTCTTCTAGTTTCTTAAAGTAGAGGCTGAAGTGACTGATTTGAGACCTTTATCCTTTCCAATAGAGGCAATTAGTAAAACAAAATTTCCACTGAGTAGTTCTTTGTTGTTTTTTAGTTGCTGGGTAGTTTCTTTGTTGTTTTTTAGTTGCTCAGTAGTATTTGACTCTTCCACGATTCCATGAACTGTAGCCCACCAGGCTCCTCTGTCCATGGCATTTTCCAGGCAAGGTTACTGCAGTGGGTTGCCATTCCCTCCTCCAGGGGATCTTCCCCACCCAGGGATCCATCAAACCTGCGTCTCCTGCATTGCAGGCAGTTTCTTTACTGCTGAGCCACTGGTGAAATCTGAGTATTTCCTTAGGTTTTCCTAATTTTGATATACTGAACTTTCATTTCTCTTGTATTAAATGTATTTTCTAATTTCCATTGTGATTTCTTTCTTGATTCATTGTTTATTGAGAAGTGTGTCATTTAGTTTCCAAATACTTGGAAATATTTGAACATTTGAGTTATTTTTCCCCTTTGGATTATTGCAGTTGAAGGTGTTTTAGTCATTTGTTTAACTGTCTTTGTATGGACTGATTTCTGATGTTTAATTTATAGTTAAATATGTACTTTATATGATGTGAATCTTTTAAATTTTTAAATTTTATTTATTTATTTTTTTGAGTCTTTTTAATTTTAATCAGTCTGATTTTACATCCCAGAATATAGTCTATTAGTAAATTTATCTTATACATTTAAAAAATGTTTATTTTTTTGTTTGTGGAATGTTCCATAAGTATCAATTATGTCAAAGTGGCTGGTAACCATGTTCAGTTCTTCTATGTAGTTATTGATTTTCTGATCACTTGTTCTATCAGTTATTGAAAGGTGAATGTTAAAATCTAATATTTTCGTATTGTTGATTTCTCCTCTCAGTCCTCAATTTTTGCTTCATATATTTTGAAGATCTGTTTTTAAGTACCTAAACATTCAGGATTTTAATGTTTCTGTTCATGGATTGACTCATTTATAATTGTAAAATGACTCTCTTTATTCCCATTATACTCTTTGCTTTGAAATTTGCTGTTTATATAGCAAATCTGGGACTTCCTGGTGGCTTGGATGGTAAAGAATCTGCCTGCAATGCAGGAGACTTGGGCTTGACCCCAGGGTCGGGAAGATCCCATGGTGAAGGGATTGGCTACCCACTCTAGTATTCTTGCCGGGAGAATTCCATGGACAAAGGAGCCTGGCGGGCTCCACTCCATCATATCACAGAGTTGGACACGACTGAGTGGCAAACACACATATACACACGCAGCAGATCTAGCTTTCGCATCTTTGCAGTTATTGCGGTATTTCTTTCCTCTATCCTTTTACTTCTAGTCTACCTATCTGTGGTTTTATATTTCATTCTTATAATCAAGTTATAGTTTTTTTTTTAATCCAGTCTAGCAATGTTTGCTTTTTAATTGGGCTGTTTAATCATTTACAGTTCATATAATTGATATAGAAGTTGCTGAATTTAAATTTTGTGTCTTGGTTTTTGTTTTTTCTCTTTTTCTGTTCCATCAATTTTCCTGTCTTCTAGAAGAACTGAGTATGTTTGTGATTCTACTTTATCTCCTGTGTTGATATATTAGCTGTGACTCTGTTGTTTTAGTGTATGCTTTAGGAATTACACATCATGAACTTTATCACAGTGTACCATCAAGTAATATTGTACCACTTCAAATATGGTATAAGAATCTTACAACACTCTGCTTCCATTTTTCCTCTCCTAGAAATTAGTTTTTTTTTTAACCTTTTATTCTTACATATTTTATGAACTCTTTAATATATTGTTAATATTCTTCCTTTAATAGTTAATTATCTTTAAAATTATTTTAAAACAAAAAATATGTTATATTTACTTACATATTTATTATTTCCAATCTTTTACTCCTTTGCATAGATCCAGATTACTACTGGTATTATTTTCTTTTTACATGAAGAATTTTTAAAAATACAGTTATATTGTGCTGGTCTATTAATGCAAGGGTTTTACAGAAAATTATCCTGTAACAGGATAGTGTATAGTATATATTTTAGGCTTTGGGAGCCATATAATCTTATCACAACTACTCAAATATATCCTTGTATCAGGAAAACAGACTTGGATAATATGTAAATGACTTGATATGGCTGAGTTGCATATAAACTCATAAAAATAGTGGTCGATAGGTAAGAGGTGTCCTTTGCTAACTTCTATGTTATTGAATAATCTTTCAGCTTTTTTATTTTTGAAAAAGTCTATTTTATTTTTTTTAAAAAATATATTTCTGTGGATATAGAATTCTAGTTTGATAGTTTTTTTCTTTTGCTGCTTTAAAAATGTTACTCCACTCGTTTCTGGCAAGAAATTTTCTTACTTTTAGTCACTGGTTTTATGTAACTTGAAAATAATGTGTTTGTTTATTGTTCTTGCTTTAGTATTTTATTTTAAGAATAAATCAAAATTTCTGTTCCTATTATCTTTCTGGTTATTTGGGTTCTTTCAAGTATTTGATATGAATCGTGCTGCCTTGAACATTGTAGTACACATCTTTAGGTGACTTTATGCAGACATTTATTTGTAGTGGAATTGCTGGGTCATAGAAGAAGCATATTACCAATTTCAGTAGATACTAACACATGGTTTTTCAAAGTGATGGTACCATTTTACCATCTCATCAGTGATGTATGAGAACTCTAGTTGTTCTGTATCCTCACTGACATTTGATATCATCAAATCCCTTTCATTTTGGTCATTCCAGTGATGTCTAGTGATATTTACTTAGGATTATAATTTGTATTTAATCCTAATAAATACAAATCCTAATAAATACCTAATTAATACAAATATAATTTTTTTTTCCTTGAAGACTAGTTAATCCGAATACCTTTTTGTGTATACAAAGTTTTAAAACATGGGAACCTACTTTTCATTGTTTATGTGTGCATAAAAGTCTCTGTGGGATTGCTGAACACCCAATTTTGGTAGTTTCTATTTCTTGGGACAGAGAAGGGTGGGGGAATATGTTGGATAGGAGGGTACACAGAGGCTCAATTTACAGCCTTATTGCTAAACCAGAAATAGATACAGGAATATCTAAAATGTTTCATTTCTTTAAAAAATTTAATTTTTTATAAAATATGCATAATGTAACATTTGCCATTCCTACCATTTTTAACTGTACACTTCATGACAATTTAGTACTTTTATGTGGTTATAGAACCATTACCATCACTGAAAAATTTTTTGAGAGGTCAGTTTGAATGCTTGATTTAGCACTACCAGGTTTTATAAAGATTGTCAGAGAAGAAAATTTTATACTTTATTTCTAAAGCAAGTATAAATTCATATCCAGAAAACATAAAAATTTGACTATTTAAAGTTTGAACAGGCTTCCAAGGGTAAGATTTTTCTTGTCATGTTGTAAGGCATTTATAATTTTAAAGAATTTTGTATCTGGAGGTACATTGATTTCAAATGAAAGTAAATGAATCACATTAATTCAGCAGTTATGTTTTGCATATATCTATATGTATAGCACTATTTTGCATTATGGTATGGTATGGGTAAGTCATAAATAATTCCAATAAATGGTTCTTAGTTGCTTTTGCCTTAATCATTTTATGATATAGCAGTAATATTTTTCAAAGTCATCTGTTTAAATGTTCACTAACATTACCTGTACAATTACCTTTCCATCTTCAGATTATGACTGTACCTAATGACCCGTATACCTTTCTGTCTTGTGGTGAAGATGGAACTGTTAGGTGGTTTGATACACGCATCAAAACTAGCTGTACAAAAGAAGATTGCAAAGATGTAAGAATCAAGTTTTTATATAAATAATGAAAAAAATTAAGATTAAAGTTGGACAGTAAGTTATCTCTGAGTTATGAGCTTATCAGTAAATTTAACATTTTTTTATTTTAAAAATCTTTAATAAATATGTATTTTAATTATAAAATAATTAAAATTATTTTATAATTATTATAAATTTAAAATTATTTTATAAATTTTAATTTTTTATTAAAAATTTTCTTAATTAAAATGTTGGTAGTGAAGTTAAGGAAGGTATATTAAACCAGGCAATTCAAATACATTTATGAAGATTTATATAATTGTTCAGTATACACCATGGCATTGTAAAAACTTGAAGTATTTCATTTATGTATGGAGGCAACTTTGGCTTTACCAGTAGCACTGATAAAAGCATATAGTAATTTGATGTCTTCTCTTTATTTTTACCCTGTCCTGTAATCCAAGATTTATTTATATATCTTTTGTTTTAGACAGTTAGGTTCCATTTTATCCACATGTTCATTGTTGATTTAGCTCATTTCTCTAAACATAGAGCTTCACTGTCAATTTTGTATTTTGGGGGGGAGTTGAATAAGAAGGGGGAGTTGAATAAGAAGTGGATTTATTTAGAGTGTGGGCTGTGTCAGAAGCGGAGAGTGGCCTTAGTTTTATATTTTTTAAAATGGTATTTTAAACTTAAAAAACATCTGTGAAATCAGTCAGTCTAAGGCCCCAGACTACTAACCCTAAATGTTACTCAGAGACAGTAGCTTTTGTCTCGGATCATTTTGGAGTTGTAAATGAAATAAGAAAATACTGCCAACCTATGGCTGAGATATACGGCAGAAACCAATCCAATACTGTGAAACAGTTATCTTCCAATTAAAAAGATTTTTAAAGTACTCTAAATACATTTTTCTTGACAGTTACCAAAAAAAAATTATTAGTAACCAGGTTGTTAGTAACTCAGTCGTGTCTGACTCTTTGTGACCCTATGGACTGTAGCCCACCCTCCAGGATCCTCTGTCCATGGGATTTTCCAGGCAGGAATCCTGGAGCGGGTTGCCATAATCAGGTTGAGTGTTCACTAATGAAGCTAGTTATTGTTGTTAACATGCCTTAGGAGAAGAGATTATTTTATACTTCAAAACAGAGAAGAAAAAGAAAAAATAGAAATGAAAAATTTTTATCAGTTTTTGTGTTGTATATATGTGTATACACATACAACTAGGAGTATTGAACTGAAGGCAGAAATAAGTTTGAAATAGTCAGTTGTTTATGAGGGGCATTTAGTATACCTGTTTTTTGTTAAATAATAAGTCCTAAAATTTGTTAAGTCAGATTCTTTTAAGCAGTATTGTACAGTGTAGTTGGATTTAATTTTGCTTTTATAATTAGAAACTTTGTTGTAAGACTAAAGAATAAATAAAACTAATAAGGGCTTCCCTGGTGGCTCAGTGGTAAAGAATCCACCTGACAATATGTGGAAGTGTGAGTTCAATCCCTGGGTCAGGAAGATCCCCTGGAGAAGGAAATGGTAACTCATTCCCATATTCTTGCCTGGGAAGTCCCATGGACAGAGGAGCCTGGTGGGCTACAGTCCATGGGATTGCAAAAGAGTCAGACACTGCTTAGCGACTAAAACAGCAACAGTAAAATATTGTTGTATTTTTCCTCAATAATACGTCTGAAGTCTTTATATGTAAAAGTGAATAGGTACAGTATAAAAAAAGCAGGTAAGTAGGGTAATTCTTAAGTACTAAAAATTTAGAGTGAATAGAATTTGATGAATAAGTTCTTTGTAATAGGAATAAAGTTCTGAGGTCAATAATTAAATACATAAAACAGCATAACTGTACCTTGAAAACTTGACTTTTCTGAGAGGAGTGAGGGATTAGCCTATAGACAAAAGAGTATATTAATAGAATACCTTAAGACTATATCTTTGGGATGATAGCCCTTACATTTTCTAATGCTTGTGTAGAGAGAAGCAGTGACATTATCATAAAGCCTGTCTTTGACGTAGTTTGTATATATGTGTGTACATACTTTGTTTTTGAACTGGTGAGGAGGATGGTTTTATAAGGTCATGATATTTTAAAATCAGGTCATGATACTTTTGTTATATTTTAATAACTAATTAAAATTAAGATATCATGAGTACCATATAAATAATCAATACACTTATCATAGACAAAGGTGGATTATACCTCCATCTTTACTGTCCAGTGGACCAATAATAGCAGACATTTTTAATGATATTAATGTAATGACATATTACATAGGAAATATTTGCATTTTCTAGTATTTCTAGTTATAATGTTCATTTTATTCTTGAGTATGGGAATATTTAGGAAGCATGTTGTTTTTTCTGCTTCATTGTCATACTGGCTGAATTAGGATTTCTGAGAAAGATTTTCTACTAATTGAAGGGAAAATGTTTTAAGTAGATTATTATCTGTTGTAAAACTTATGTAACTAATATTCTTTTATCTCTTGTAGGATATTTTAATCAACTGCCGACGTGCTGCCACATCTGTAGCTATTTGTCCACCAATACCATATTATCTTGCTGTTGGTTGTTCTGATAGCTCAGTACGTATATATGATCGGCGAATGCTGGGCACAAGAGCTACAGGTAAGAAGACATATATTAGAGAAAATATGAGACTGTATCAATTCAAAGGATACATCTTTATGACCTGTTATGATTTTAAAATTTCTTTAGTTTGACATAAAATTCAATACATAGAACTTATTTAAAAACTATGAATTATTATAAAAAATAGCATTTCACCAAGTTTTTATGACCCCATCAAGGTGATGCTTTTGCAGTTTATCACTTTAGAATGTTGTAGCACTTCATGTATTAGTTTCCTGGAGCTGTCATAACAAATTATTATAAATTCAGTTCAGTTCAGTCACTCAGTCGTGTCTGACTCTTTGCGACGCCATGAGCTGCAGCAAGCCAGGCCTCCCTGTCCATCACCAACTCCTGGAATCTACCCAAACCCATGTCCATAGAGTCGGTGATGCCGTCCACCCATCTCATCCTCTGTCGTCCCCTTCTCCTCCTGCCTTCAATCTTTCCCAGCATCAGGATCTTTCCAAATGAGTTAGCTCTTCACATCAGGTGGCCAAAGTCTTGGAGCTTCAGCTTCAGCATCAGTCCTTCCAATGAACACCCATGACTGATCTCCTTTAGGATGGACTGTTTGGATCTCCTTGCAGTCCAAGGGACTCTCCAGAGTCTTCTCCAACACCATAGTTCAAAAGCATCGATTCTTTGGCGCTCAGCTTTCTTTATAGTACAGCTACAACTCTCACATCTATACATGACTACTGGAAAAACCATAGCCTTGACTAGATGAACCTTGTTGGCAAAGTAATGTCTCTGCTTTTTCATATGCTGTCTAGGTTGGTTATAACTTTCCTTCCAAGGAGTAAGTGTCTTTTAATTTCATGGCTGCTGTCACCATCTGCAGTGATTTTGGAGCCCAGAAAAAGAAAGTCAGCCATTGTTTCCACTGTTTCCCCATCTATTTCCCATGAAGTGATGGGACCAGATGCTATGATCTTAGTTTTCTGAATGTTAAGCTTTAAACCAACTTTTTCACTCTCCCTTTTCACTTTCATCACGAGGCTCTTTAGTTCTTCTTCACTTTCTGCCATAAGGGTGGTGTCATCTGCATATCTGAGGTTATTGATATTTCTCCCGGCAATCTTGATTCCAGCTTGTGATTCTTCTAGCCCAGAGTTTCTCATGATGTACTCTGCATATAAGTTAAATAAACAGGGTGACAGTATACAGCCTTGACGTACTCTTTTTCCTATTTGGAATCAGTCTGTTGTTCCATGTCCATTTCTAACTGTTGCTTCCTGACCTGCATACAGGTTTCTCAAGAGGCAGGTTAGGTGGTCTGGTATTCCCATCTCTTTCAGAATTTTCCACAGTTTATTGTGATCCACACAGTCAAAGGCTTTGTCATAGTCATTAAAGCAGAAATAGATGTTTTTTTGGAACTCTCTTTCTTTTTTGATGATCCAATGGATGTTGGCAATTTGATCTCTGGTTCCTCGTCCTTTTCTAAAACCAGCTTGAACGTCTGGAGGTTCAAATTTCATGTACTGTTGAAGCCTGGCTTGGAGAATTTTGAGCATTACTTTACTAGCGTGTGAGATGAGTGCAATTGTGTGGTAGTTTGAGCATTCTTTGGCATTGCCTTTCTTTGGGATTGGAATGAAAGCTGACCTTTTCCAGTCCTGTGGCCCCCGCAGAGTTTTCTAAATTTGTTGGCGTATTGAGTCCAGCACTTTCACAGCGTCATCTTTCAGGATTTGAAATAGCTCAACTGGAATTGCATTGGGTGACTTAAAATAACAAATTTATTCTCATATATATGGAGCTTAATGGCTGAAATCAAGGTGTTGCAGAGTGGTTTTCTGTTGGAGGCTGTCTGGAAGAATCTTTTGCCTGCTTTTTTCTCATATTCTGGAGGCTGCTGACACTCTCTAGCATCCCTTAGCTTTTAAGTGTATCAGTCGAGTTTCTGCTTCCACCTTGACGTGCCATTCTGTCCTGTGTGTATCTCTGCCTACATTTCCCCTCATAAGGACACTAGTCAAGTTGTATTTAAGATCCAGTGAAATCCACTCTGACCTCATCTTGACAATTATTGCGTCTACAAAGACCTTATTTCTGAACAAGCCACATTCTGTGGTTCTTGGCATACATACGTTTTCAGGGGACACACTTCAGCCCACAACACTTGGCTCTCCTGGTTTTTGTTTGCCATCTTTTCAGTCAATAGTAAGTGTGGTGGGGAGGAAAGTTTAGGAAAGAACACTGACTTGGGTGTGCATTAATTTATACCATATGTTCATGCCTACTTCATAGCCTAGCTTCTTATTGTTCAGCTGCTAAGTTGAGTCCAACTCTTTGTGACCCCGTGGACTGCCGCACACCAGGCTTCTCTGCCCTCCACTGTCTCCTGGCATTCGTGCAAACTCTTGTCCATTGAGTCAGTAATGCTATCTATCATGTAGCCTAGCTAAAGTACTGTAAATGGTGCTGCAGTACTGAATTTGAATTTGCATTAAACTCTTTATTTGTTTCTCCTTTGCTTTGAGATCAAACCTCTTCTGAAATATTCACTTCAAAGCCAACTTCTGTTAGGAAGGTCAAAATTTTCTGCCAAGGAATGTCAAGATTTCCTCTTTCTCACACACACACATACACACCCCATATATACATAAAGATTTATAAATAAAAATTAAAGTGGACTTGATCATAAATTAACAGTGTTTATCTCAATGTCAGTTTATGTCCAGTGAAAGTGGACATACAATGTTGAAATGGGAAAACCAGAGGGGATCTTTTTTCATTTTTTGCACTATGATTGAGAAGTCTTATCTATTTGAATAGACATATTTAATGGGAACAGTAGTAATATAATATGAAACTGTAGGCCCAACTATCATTTCTCACTGGATGAGACATGATTGCTCTTTTGGGCAAGGCAAAACCCCAGAGTGCAAGATAATGCAGCTTTGTGTAAATTTAACATTTCTGGGCCTGCAAAGCACCAAGTGCCAACTGTACCTCTCCCTGTTATATTGCATTATATTGATGACCGTCAAAATTAATTAAAATTAAAGTGATATTCCCACTCTGTTATTTTATAAGAGGTGAATTTCACAGCAGTATAAAATCTTTTAATGATATAAAGTAAAAGATAAATCTTATTAAAAAGATACTATACTGTTTTATCTAGTATATTAGTAAATGTTAACTTTCTGGTTTACCTTATGAAAATTATATTATCTTAATTTGGAGAATTTTAAGAGATGATTTAGTATGACTCTAATCCTCTAATCATAGATCATTTTAAATGATTAAATAGCTAATATTTTGGGAAAAAACCACATTGACTTAATCTGGAATTCTAGGAAATCATGAATTCTTTTTGGAAGATAATATAAGCTTTATGCTGTATTCTTTTTCATTTTGTCACAAAATCTGACTGTTGATAACAGAGTCTTTTCCAGAAATAGAATATGATAGCTTGGATTTACCTTGCTACATTAAATACATACAATTCAGATGAGTTTTTAAAGTGTTTTTCTTGAAAAACATTGTAAATTGTAAACAGTTTCTTTTTTCTTATTAGGGAACTATGCCGGCCGAGGAACGACTGGGATGGTTGCTCGTTTTATCCCTTCCCATCTGAATAATAAGTCATGCAGGGTGACATCTCTGTGTTACAGTGAAGATGGTCAGGAGATTCTTGTTAGTTACTCTTCAGACTATATATATCTTTTTGACCCGAAAGATGATACAGCACGAGAACTTAAAACTCCTTCTGCAGAAGAGAGAAGAGAAGAGGTAAATTTCCTCAAAACTATGTTCTTTTATTCGATTCAGAAAACATTAACTCACTAACTCTTGGGGCATTAATTCAGTAACTAAATTTGAAGCCTTAAGGGCTTCAAAAAATAGTTTGTTTTCACGGCATTTACAGTCTGTGGAGCAAAGACATGAAACAGGCATGAAAGAATGGGAGTAATAAATTAGGAAAAGGTACCAGATGAAAGTATTGTATAATATTTTAAAGAGTAAATGTCTAGAAGCAAAATGTTTCTCCATGTTTATGAATGTATAGCAGCACCAAGAAAGAGTAACAGTTCTGATAGTTGCAGAAAAGGTAATTAAAATAATTTAAAAAAATGTGATATATAAGCTTCCAAGAGACTTAATGTTTATATTCATGCAAAAATATTTACTTTTCACATGTGGATAGCCCTCCTTCCTCTCTTCGGATTCTGCCTTGTTCACAATTATGAGCTAGTGGCGTGTATTATTATCTGTAGGTACATTTTATAAAATACACATGAGTGAGTGAGAAAAGGTAAGTTAAAATGTGTCTACATTCACACACAACACAACACATAATACAGAATCAGGAGAGGAGGAGCTTGCTATCTACATATGAATAGTAAATGGTAATAGGTGAAACTCCTGTTGGTACATGTATATAAACATTTTGTGCCTTGGAAGTTGATACATTACATTTTATATACAGATACATATGTATATGTATCTGTATACATACCTATATCTAGCAGGCTCTGGGAGTTGGTGATGGACAGGGAAGCCTGGTGTGCTGCAGTCCATGGGGTTGCAAAGAGTTGGACACAAATGAATGACTGAACTGAACTGAACTGGTATCTATAGATACCCTTTTCTTCATCAATTTCTAGATACAGATATACTATGTTTTGAAAGATAGGTGAAAGAATTAATGTTCCTAAAATGACTTTAAAATAGTCAGTCATTTTCTTATGAAAAGCAGACACCAGAAATAATATGTCATTGACAGTATACAGCAGTAGAATAATGTTTGCCTCTTAAGCTTCTTTCGCCTTGTATTTTTTACTTTGGGTTTTTTTGGTGGTTTTTTTTTTTTTTACATGTCCTGTGTTTAACCACTCTATTCTTTGGATTGTTAATGTCTTTTGAAGTAAACCATTGCTTTTTATTAATTATCAGTGACTGTTAAGTATTGGTTCACCTCTTACTAATAATTTTAAAGGTACTAAAGAACAACAATGATTTTGTAATTCCTATGAGATGGAAAACTAAATCCATTTCTTATATTTGCAGGCTGACAGGGCTATAAAACAAAAAATCAAGATTACTTGTGGCACTGTATTTAACTGAATTAAGAGATTTATGAAGAGAGTATGTTGCTAATGAAAGCTATTTTTGAGATTATTGGTCTGATTGAAAATGTGAAATCTGTTCTGTTGTTACTATGTAATTTCCTCTTGAAAGACTGAACTTTAGTAATGTTACAGTCAAACTGTGTGAATGTTGTTACATAATGAAAGAGTTGGAAATGCAGAAACATTTTAAGCGAGCCAACTAGATTTTATGCCATAGAAAATTTAGCCAAAGGATGTTTATATAATCAGAGTGAATGAGGCTGAGTCATGAGCAGTTGTTTTTTTTAACATGTTTTTCTCAATGTTCTTTGTTGAATTAACTAAATTAAGAAAAATAATTCTGGAAATGGATTAAAAGTATAAAAATTATGCTTATTATAATAAATGAAACAATTTACAGTCTGTCTAGGAAAAGAAATTAATAAACTGTCTTCCTCTTAATATAACCATCTTTTCTTTCAGTGTTTTATGTTAAATTCTTTGTAGTAATGTTCAGACAAGCTGTTCTCAGCTCACCAAATAATTATTTGGTATCTACTGTATGATAGTACAGTAAACTTGAGAAATCTACTAAACTTGAGAAAATCAAGGCTGACTGTTACAAAGATATGACCTGTCATTCAGGAGTTTGCAAATAAGTAGATAAAATAGTAAGATTTATAAACAAATTGTGAAAGTTAAAATAACAATTATATGTAAGAATTAATGTTCCATATAAGTAGACCAAAGACAGAATAATTGTATTTAATTTGGAGCATAAGAAACTGTTGAGCAGGTTTTTAAAGTACTAATAAAAGTTTAATATATGATTTTTTTCTTGTGTTTTCATATTTTTATACTTTCTTAATTTGTAGGGGTCTCTTTTCCATATTATTTCCTTTGAATGAGTGAAAGTTGCTCAGTTGTGTCGTGTCCAACTCTTTGCAACCCCATGGACTATATAGTCCATGGAATTCTCCAGGCCAGAAGACTATAGTGGGTAGCCTTTTCCTTCTGCAGGATTATTTCCTACATCCTCTAATAATTTCTCTTTTGCTCCTGTTCCCTTTTTTTTGGCCATGTTGCACAGCATGTGGGGTCTCAGTTCCCCACCAGGGACTGAATCCTGGCTCTCACAATGAAAGCATGGAGTCCTAACCACTGGACCACCAGGGAGTTCATGTTCCCCTTCTTTATTTACCATATTCTTTTGTCTTATTCAAATTTTTTTTCCACTTCTCCTTTTATTTTGGTATTCCTTTTTTCTTTTTTTTCTTTTCATTTATTTTTATTAGTTGGAGGCTAATTACTTTACATCATTGCAGTGGTTTTTGTCATACATTGAGATGAATTAGCCATGGATTTACATGTATTCCCCATCCCGGTCCCCCCTCCCACCTCCCTCTCCACCCGATCCCTCTGGGTCTTCCCAGTACACCAGGCCCGAGCACTTGTCTCATGCACCCAACCTGGGCTGGTGATCTGTTTCACCCTAGATAATATATGTGTTTCGATGCTGTTCTCTTGAAACATCCCACCCTCGCCTTCTCCCAGAGTCCACAAGTCTGTTCTATACATCGGAGTCTCTTTTTCTGTTTTGCATATAGGGTTATCGTTACCATCTTTCTAAATTCCATATATATGTGTTAGTATACTGTAATGGTCTTTATCTTTCTGGCTTACTTCGCTCTGTATAATGGGCTCCAGTTTCATCCATCTCATTAGAACTGATTCAAATGAATTCTTTTTAATGGCTGAGTAATATTCCATGGTGTATATGTACCACAGCTTCCTCATCCATTCGTCTGCTGATGGGCATCTAGGTTGCTTCCATGTCCTGGCTATTATAAACAGTGCTGCGATGAACATTGGGGTGCACGTGTCTCTTTCAGATCTGGTTTCCTCGGTGTGTATGCCCAGAAGTGGGATTGCTGGGTCATATGGCAGTTCTATTTCCAGCTTTTTAAGAAATCTCCACACTGTTTTCCATAGTGGCTGTACTAATTTGCATTCCCACCAACAGTGTAAGTGGGTTCCCTTTTCTCCACACCCTCTCCAGCATTTATTGCTTGTAGACTTTTGGATAGCAGCCATCCTGACTGGTGTGTAATGGTACCTCATTGTGGTTTTGATTTGCATTTCTCTGATAATGAGTGATGTTGAGCATCTTTTCATGTGTTTGTTAGCCATCTGTATGTCTTCCTTGGAGAAATGTCTGTTTAGTCCTTTTTTCTTTTTATTGCCTTTTCTTTCTTCTTTTCTTTTTCTCTCATATCTTTTTGATGTTTTTCCCCCACCTGCCTAGCACATTATTGGATTGCTTTGTTGAATCCCATCTCTCATTTTCTCCTGGTCCTCATGATTTATCCCTAAAAGTTTTACACATATCCTCAGCTTTTTGAAAGTTTGCTTCTATATCACTTTGCTTTTACTGAAGACCTGCATCAGTACCTGATTTCACTGACTAAAAAATCCGAAGAGGATTTTCACTTTTACAGAAAAGAAAGGTGAAAAGTGAAACTAGCACCTAGTGACTGTTTGCAGTGCGCACCCTGAGCAGCCAGTGCTACCACCATACTCCTTCCCAGGGAGCTACACTTGGCATCTCAGTGTCAAGCTGCCCTGGCTTTGAATTGTGTTTATATCTCAGCATTAAGCTCTGTAGTATTGAATTGTGTCTGTAAACATCTGTGCCTTATCTTGATTTATTTTGTGCATCAGTTAGCAAGATGTGTCTTAATGTAATTGCTTCTTTGTGTTACTCCATGTTGACTTATGAAGGTTTTCATAGGAGCATTCTGCTTTCAGATAGCAGGGGAAACCTGTATCTAAAATGTGTTAGTATTACTTCCATTTTACCACTAACACTGATCCAAGGCATCAGCACCTCTCCTGGATTATTATGATAGCTTTCTTACTAGGTCCCTGCTTTCATTCCACCCTCTCCGATCCTTTAGTTACATAGTAGCCAAAGTAATCTTTTAAAACATAAGTCAGATCATGCCACTGTTCTGATTCACACTCCAAAATGGCCCACCACCTCACTCAAAACTGAGGTCCATATAGTGGATCTTATGTTACCTGGTTCTTGTCACTTCTATGGCTCTCTCCTTTGTTTGCTCTGCTCTAGCCACATCTAGTTACTTATTGACTCAGGCAGGCTAAGTGTGCTTCTGCCTTACAGTTTTTGCATTTACTTTGCCTGAAATGACCTCCCCCAGATTATCTGGATTTCTTCTTCCTTTACCTCTTAAAGTGCTTTGCACTTGTTTTTTTCTCCATTAGACCCTAACATACCACGTTATTTAGAATTGTATCTCTTAATTCTCTGGTACTACCTCTCCCTTTTCCACTTGATTTTATTCTGTAACACTTACAACTTTCTCTGTATATTTTACTTGTTTAATTTCACGTATTTTGTAAACTCTGTGACATTGAGAATTTATGTTTTGTCTGTTGATCTTTCCCTGATACCAAGTGTAGTGGCTGACACATAAAAGGTGCTGAAAAATTTTTTATGGAATGACTGACTGAATATCATTTTTAAGATTTTTTATGGAATGACTGATATGTACCATTTTCAGGATTCTTGACTAGATTATTTTGCATATCTCAAAAAATCAAACTTGGGACTGTTTTTAACTTGAAGATCTTGTTCCAGATATACTTGCTGAGATTATAACATCAGTTCTTTGCCTGTACAATATAAAAATTTCTCTCTTGTAACCATGGAACAGAGCTCTAGTTTGTTATTCTAAGTACAATTTATATACAGGTGAGATTCTCTCTGGAAATGATTATTTGTCTGACATTTAAACAGCTACCACACCAGGCATCTTCTAATTGTTCCTTTTCACACTTGTGACTTCCTCTGCAGGTTTTGTTATTCTCAGTTGCTTTTAACCATACTTATATATAATATGGACTATTTTAGAGGAGTTTCTGTTTCCTTTGCTAAGGATGGAAAGTCCCCCATTCCCCACCCCTTCCCCCCAACCCCCACCCCCGTCCCGCCCCCGTTCTCCTTGTTGCTCAGTATAGTTTCCAGGAGAAAATAGAAAATTTACCACTAAGCTATCACTAAATTTCTATCAAAACTTGCTAAATTGTGAGGAGGAAAAAGTGAATGTTATGTTAAAATATAAGGGAGTGACCCACAACATTGGAGAAAATATTTGCAAATCATACATCTAGCTTATGATTTAGAATCTAGTATCCAGAATATGTTATATAAAGAACACTTGCTACACAGCAATGAAAAGAGAAATATCTTAATTTAAAAAATTGATAAAGGATTTGAATAGACATTTCTCCAGAAAAGGTGTACAAGTGGCCACTAAGCACATTTGGAGATGTTCGACATCACTGATCAAAGCCACGGTGAGGCACCACTGCATAGATTGACTGAAAAGCCAGTGACAAGTGTAAGTGTTCGTGACAATGTGGGGAAATCAGAGCTCTCATACATTACTGGTAGAAGTATGAAATAGTGCAGGTGCCTTGGAAAACAGCTTGGCAGTTCCTCAAAATTTAAACATGGAAGCTATCATATGATTTAGCAATTCCATGCTAGGTTATATACCCAAGAAAATTGAAAACATGTCCCCATAAAAACTTGCACGTATGTTCATAGCAGCATTAGTTACAATAGCCAAAAAGTGGAAAGAGCTGTTTTCATCAGCTGGTGAATGAGTAAACAAAATGTGGTATTTTTAAAAAGTGGAATGTTATTGAGCCATAAAAATAGCGATGAAATACTGACACATGCTACAGTGTGGATGCACCTTGAAAAATACTATGCTAAGTGAAAAAAGTAATACACAATGGCCACATATTATATTATTACACTTACATGATGTGTCCAGAATAAGCATATCCATAGAGACAGAGTGGATGAGTGGTTGTCAGGAGGAGAGTTGAGGGGCAAATGGGGAGTGATGAAAATGATCTGGATTAGTGAGATACAAGTAGCTGCATAGCTTTTGTGAATATATACCACTGATTTGTCTGCTTTAAAAGGATAAATATTTTTAAAAGGGTAAATATTATGGTATGTGAATTATACATCAATAAAAAGATGTTAAAAATGTGAAAGTTAAAGGGAGTGATTAAGAGTGTCAGATACCGTACGTATCAAATAGAAGAATCTCTAAAAGGTGCCATTCAAATTGGAAATGGATTTTTGATCATTTTATCATTGATCAGTGAACTTAGCAATTGATCATTCACTGGTGATATGAGTGAGAATTCAATGGAAAAATGAGTTGACTTCAGTGAATTGAGTGAAGAGTGGTAGATAAAAATAGAATAAATACAGACTTTTTAAAAGAAGATTGACAGTAAAGCTTCAGAAAGCATGTGAAAAGAATGTAGCTGAATAGAAATAGTAAATTGCAGTGTTTTACCTATTAAAAATGATAAGAACCTTTAGTGTATTGTGAGGAAGAATCAAGAAAGAAGAGAGGAATGTAGGTATAGAAATAGAATAATTATTCAAGGAATGAAATAAAAAGCACAAATAGAGATTAGGCTTAAACACAACAAATGATCCATCAGCTAAGAAAGACTGGAAGAAATTAAGAAGTAGATAAGTTTATAGAATGAAGTTGAGGAGATTGCTGTCGTTTCTATAGAACTGACTTTATTTTTTCTGAAGTAGTAGGAAGAGTTAGTAGCTGAGAATGGGAACAAGGTAAAGACACTGAGGTGAGTAATGCAGGTTGGAATAGATGCTGGGGGAGAACCAGCAAATGGTCAGTAATAATAAGAAAATAGTGGGTACTCCTGCCAACTAGGTGTGTAGCTACTTTACCTATACTATATTTATCGTTCATAATAGAAAGCTTAGGTTTAATGTAGTTAGATAACTTTTCTCTTGTCAGTTGAAAAATGATGGGATTTGATATCACATTTACATGATTTTAAAGTTGCATTCAGTCTTTAGGTTGAAGATACTAAGTATAGGATGTCAACATCAATGGATATTTATGGCTGTCTTTCATATTTTGGTTTTTTGTTGTTGTTTAGTCGCTAAGTCATGTCCAACTCTTTTTTAACCCCTTGGACTGTAGCCTGCCAGGCTCCTCTGTCCGTGGGATTTCTGAGGCAAAAATACTGAAGTGGGTTGCCATTTTCTTCTTCATGGGACCTTTTCAATCCAGGGATTGAACCCATGTCTTATGCATTGGCAGGTGGATTATTTACCACCGAGCCACCAGGTAAGCCCCATATTTTGCTTTAGCATCTCAATAAAGAAAGTTAAAAAAAAAATGGAAAGACTCTATTAGAGTTACAGTGTGCTTTAAGAATTTAGCAAACGAGTTTTCTTCTCATCTTTTAGTTACGACAGCCTCCAGTTAAACGTTTGAGACTTCGTGGTGATTGGTCAGATACTGGACCCCGAGCAAGGCCTGAGAGTGAACGAGAAAGAGATGGTAACTATATTTGGTCAGCTTTTAAAAAATTAATATTTTAGCTTGTTTCCATTTTTTTGCTTTATAAGTGATATTGTAACAAACATCTTTGTACATATATCTTTGTACATGTACTTGTGCAAGTGTGTCTTAGGATGAATTCCTAAAAGTGGAATGTGTGGGTCGCTGGATAAGTGGATTTTAATATTGATAGTTATCAAATTACCCTCTGAAAAGTAGATACTATTTTGCATTCCCACTGAAAGCCCAAGAATACATTTTTTGCCACAGAAAGATTGGGTATTATCAAACTTTATAATTTTTGCCTTTGTATTTGATATAGAGAGAATTGAAAACTCCCAATTTCCAATCTGAGAGTTTATAAGAGCACGTAAAAAAGGTTTTTTTCCCCTCCTATCAGATGCCTTTGGTAAGCATAAGAAATTATTATTTGGGAGTGTTAAGGTGCACATGTAAAATAGAAGTAATGTTTGTGATTTTATATAATAAATGAGTCTACAGCCAAAGTCTTATTCTAATGATTTCTGAAAGCTTTTAAGATCAAAAGCATATTTTCCAATATATTAGTGTTTGTATTATTTGACATCATATTTTAAAATATAAAGCTATATTATATAAAGGTAATAAAGCATAGAATAAATTCTGTTTTCATAGAAAATAAAAAAATAGTTCTTATTTTAAATTATATGATTGTAGAATAGAATTATCACAGTTTCAATTTGATGGGATAGTTAATTTGATAATGCCCTTAAGACTACTCAAATATTTGAAGGAAGAAAAGGGGGGAGGAAAAAGATAAAACATTTTCTGGTTTCATTTAATTTCAACTATATGTAATTTACAGTAAATGATGAAAATAAATTCAGTTTAAGGAAATTTAAGTGAGAGGGCAAACCTTCAGTTTAGGGAAATTTAAGAGAGAGGTCATACTTTGTTTTCAATCTATTCAACTTAAAATTCATGAGCTCTTCCAATCTGTGTACTCTTAGACCTAAAGATGTGGGTTGGGGTAAGGGTAGGAGTGTGGAAGTACCTCAGGATTGGCAGAGATGTAGGAGGAGCTCAAAATGCAGACAGAGGGTGATTCATATATACATTTACTATAAAATGTGATGACAGCCCTAGTAGATTTACATATGCATTCATATAATTTATTTAAGCAATTTGATTTTTTAAAATTGCTTTTACTTTAAAGGCCTTCAAATATAGATTTTTACATTAATGAAAGATCCTGACTTATTACTAAGTTCACTGATAAGACCTGTTTTGTTATCATAGGAGAGCAAAGTCCCAATGTGTCATTGATGCAGAGAATGTCTGACATGTTATCAAGGTGGTTTGAAGAAGCAAGTGAAGTTGCACAAAGCAACAGAGGACGAGGAAGATCTAGATCCAGAGGTAATTTTCATTATAATTAAAGCTACCAGAAAGCTTGCAAAGACTATTTTTTGAAGTCAGTTTTATTTATATTATTTAGTGTATACCATATTTTATATCCTTAGTGATCATAAAGTTCTTACTGTATTATGTGGAACAGTAGAGGACAAAGGGTGTTGGGTATTATTTGTTCCTTTAGCCCTCATTGTTTGCTTTTCTCAAGGAAAGTAAGAGAATCTGATACTCTGCCTTGTGAGACAATTTGTATGTACTCTGAGTGGATGTAGATTAAACTCTGTGGATAAGTAAGTTTTATATGATTGAATAGTTTTCTTCTTTTGGTTATTCATATACAGTGGTTATTAATTGCTACTTCGGGTATTAGCTGACCTGTTTTCCTATTTTGGTTCACTACTTTCCAGCTTTATGATCTTGGCAAGTTACCTATCTCTGTCAGAAATCATGACTATTAAAGTTAATTCATAAATGCTTTAGTCCCAAAATGAAAATTTCTATTGAATTTCTTTTATAAATAGTTCTTGTTAAATTCTGCATATATAAACTTAAAAAAATTTCTTAGACTATGGATTTACTTAAGGGTTATCACATTTGTGCTTAAATTTAAACTAAGATATATTTAAATCAAGATAATTAAAGGAAAAAAATTTATATTCTATAGTAGCATCTTTTAAGACATGAACTTGATTAATTCATTTTGTATTTTTCTTTTAATAATATAGATTTGAAGCAAAATCAGGAAAGTTTTTAATGTTTATTGAGTATTCTTAATTATTCTGTTGCAGATAGCACAAGGCCTGCAGCAACACATAGCAGATATTCAAGCCTTTTAAAATCATGATTGCATCATGTTAGTTTAGTGGTTAAAGCACTACTGCTAATGAAATGGCAATTGGGAACTTAATCCCATTCGAACCTAATTGTAGCTTTACTCTTGTTAATAAAAGTTTTTATTAAATATTTTCCCAAGGATATTATTATTTTACAGAGTGGAAATATATTAATATAAGTCCCTTATCCTTTTGTTGTTGTTCAGTCACCAAGTGGTGTCCAACTCTTTGTGACCCTGTGGACTGCTGCATGCCAGGTTTCCCTGTCCATCTATTAAATCAGAATTATCATCTTCAAACTTAAGGAACAAGACATTATTTACAGGCATCTTGCAAGCTGTTATTTAGCTTTGTCTAAGTCAAGCTACAATGTTGAGCATTTTGCTTGGAAGGTTGATTATGTAACAGGAATGTGCCGTAGGTAGGTTTTTTTACCCCTATTAATTAGCATGTTTGGTTAAGGTACCAAACCACCAGTGGGTACTTTTGATATCCTGAAATTATCTATTTCTCTGTGTATGTGTGTGTACATATATTTCTTGAGCGTATCTCTTTAGAGGAGTTAGTTTTGGAAAGCGTATGGTATTTCAGTTTGTATTACAATGTGTTTTTGAAGGTGGGACGAATCAGTCAGATGTTTCAGCTCTTCCTGCGGTCCCATCAAGTGCTGATTTGGACGCGGGTGAAACTGCAATGGAAGTAGATGCCCCAGATGAGCAGTTTCTTCAGCCTTCTGCGTCCTCTGCCGTGTCAGCTCAGGGCCATTTGGCGTCACCTTCTACAGAAGGCCCTCATTCTGCTTCTGTGCTGTCTTCTCCAGACAGTGACCAAAGGCAGTCTGTTGAGGCATCTGGACACCATACACATCATCAGTCTGGTGAGGATGTTATTCTTTAAATAGGCTGTGATTCATCTGATGATTTTTGATAATGGAAACATTTTAATGGGTTATTTTGAAAGGAACTGAATTACATCAACTTATTCTTGCTGAAAAAAATGATCAAAATTACTTGTAATACATGAATATGTAACTTAAAAACAGAATTCAAGTGTGCCTCACTTGCATGAATTTTATCACAAAGCAGGAAACTTCAGTTTACCCAAGACAATTCTTTATAAAATGTAAGTATCAGAAGATAGTGTTTAGACATAGTTTAATGTATTGACTTAGTGATTATTTTTATAGGCCATTATAGACCATTATGGAACAAAATTTCTTTCTTAGGCTTTAATGAAAATATAGCCCTGATTATTATTAGTTACTTTGTATTTATTTATTTTTAAATTATTTTTCTTCAAATCATGAAATACTTTCAATACGTTCTTTATGGTGAATTTTATATGGTCTTTTGTTATATGTATATGCAATTTACCAAAAGAATTATTTCTCCTTTGTTTACATGAAAAAAATTTTAACAGATCTTGGTCTTCTTGGTATTTGATGTTAATGAAAAAAATCAACTTCTCAATTCTACTAAAATTGTATTTTCCTTTCAGTATTCCTCATGTTCACACACCCCTTCTCCATGGAATGTACTGCTCTTTACATCAGTAATTTGGCATATATGTCTGTAGCTTACTTGGCATTTTAACTGTATACATGTAATTATAATAACCAATAAGATGTTCATTCATATTTTTCTTTGGGATTTTTAAGGAAGTATTTTACTCATATATAATTAAAAATGTTAGCAACTAAAGATACAGCTGGAAGGCCTAAGCTAAAACCTATAAAAAAAATTCCTAACAGCTTTCCTAACTGCCAAGTTGGTACTTTATTCTTGCTTCTCTGAAATCTGATACCAGATCACCAAATATGAGGTGTTTTAAATTAAGCACTTTTATCAGTATATCCCAGTTTTGGTAATTTATTTTCAATTTCTATGAGAGTAGAAGCCAGAGTCAGTTACATGACAGTTAAATAATAGATGTGTATAATTTACCTATAGCAGTGAGCTAAAGATGAGCTATAAAATTAGGTTTTCCACATTCTCATCGATACAGCATTTCAAGTTTTGGGGAAATAACATATTTTGGAGGGTTTGGGAAGCTTGGACAAAATCAGCTAAAAGTTTGCTTTCCAAAACAAGTAAAATTGGTAAAAATAAGAGTTTTTGAAGTGATAACATTCTTGGGAATACTCTTAAAGAGTCTGATCAATTGTAAGTTTGATCACAGCTTAGCAAGAAGATTGTCTATCTCATTTTTATGCTCCACTGAATCTTACCTGATTCCAGTTGTTTCTTAAACACATTTCTGAGTATACTACCTTGTAGGGAATTTCATTTTTCCATTTTGTCATAGCTTCTTAACACATTCTAGTACTGCATTTCAGATTATTAAATTTAAATCCTTTTTAATATTTGATGTAAGTATTAGATACTGCAGTCATTGAATCATTGAAGAAAAAGAAAATTTTGTGATGATCCTCTGACATTGAACATTACTTAGCACTTTTGTCTATAAATTTTTCAAAGATAAGAAAGACTTAACTGGTAGGTTATGGGAAGAATTTCAGCTGACTAAACTATGGAAAATGGGGATATTTCCATGTTACTAAGATAGTATTGCTACTGAGGAAAATGATTTGATGTTAGATGTAACATCTAAAGATTATGTCTCTGATTGTTTTGACAATAGGCTTTAGCATTTTAACAATAAGGACTTAATGCTCTTTATGTTGTGTTTTGTTTTTTCTATCTTTTATTCAGTTCTAAGTCCAGATGGGTTTTTGAGTAGTAGGAATTGCCTATACTGGTGGGAGTGTCATGTTGGAACCATGATTTCTGTTATTGTCTTGCATAGAAATAGAGAAAATGAAAACGTATGCTTCTTGCTTTTTCTGTGAATATCTATTGTAAATGTTTGTATTTTTCATTTACGTCCCTTCCTTTTCTTCTGTCACTTTTGCTGGGGTGAAGGAGAGGCACAATGGGAATGTGAAGACTTGCTGGGCAGCACTCCATCTCATTGAACCGAATTATTTGCCTTCTCTTAGTCTGTAACTGAGTCACTGAATGTTATTGAGGAAATTTATGACCACAGATTTCACTGGGTGCTCCGCACTGTGTGTTAGAACAGTCTTTTAACACAATTGCTCTCCAACTGTCAGTTTCACACCTTATGTCTCTCAGACTTTTAGCACTACACTTTGTTCTCATCCTGCTCCCTAGCTGATAATCTTCTTTCATTCATAGTAGGGGGAAAAAAGCATTCACTTTCCTACTTTTGAATCTCTCAACTTTCCAGCATCTGTACTCACATTGTCTAAGACAGAAGTGGTCACATTGTGGGAAGAAGTGTATCTGCTCCTAACAGAAGCTAACCAGTGCAGTTTCCATCTCTTTCCATCTTTTCAAGGAGTTTTCTCCTTGTCCTGCATCTTTATTATTACCTTTTCTACTGAATTTTTCTTTTCTGCCTCAAACATGCCCTGTTATTATCTTGTCTTAAAAAAAAAATCTCTTAATTGTCCCACATCCCCCTCCAGACCCATGTCTTTGCTCCTTTTATAATCAGAGTCTTCATGAGAGTAGCTGACATATACTGTCTCCTTTTTCTCACCGTGTTCCACTTACTTACCAACCAACCCTAATCTGCCTTTTAACTTCCTTTTTCACTGAAACTTTTTGTCAAAGTCACTAGTGACTTCCATTTTGCCCCAAAAGTATACTTCTTTCTTTTAACCCAGTTGTATTTAGCATAGTCTGTCACTTCTTTCTTGAAGCACTTTTCTTTTTTGGTATCTGTGATACCACTTTTGCCTACTTAACTCTTATTAGCATCTCTGGTTTTCAGTAACCATTGTTGATATTTCTCATTCTATAATTACTTGTCAATATTTTAGTAGAACCCCATAGCCTGTGCTGTCTTCTCTACATGGACTCTGTCCCTCATAAAATGGTATCAATTCCTGGAGCATTTAATATCGCCAAATGTATACTGACAATCTGATCTTCTACCCTGAGTTACTTACTCCTGTGTCCAACTGTTTATTTAACACTTTGTTTTGGTTATTTTTGCTGTGAATAGATATCCAGTAATTTATTGTTTTTGGTCTAATATGTCCAACTATAATTTATCTTCCTACCCTTCCTATCTCACTAATCTCTTTCATCTTGATCATTTCATATCTTAGTAAATTATAATTACTACTTATTTTCTTATTTTAACAGACTATGGGTTGCTGATCTGATTCCTTGCTTTCCTTCATGTCCCTCACCCAATTCATCATCTATTTTCTCTGTATCTAAGATACCCTTTACTTCTTTTCATCTTACTGGATTGGCCAAAAAGTTCTTTCAAGTTTTTTGCACAAGATGTCATGGAAAACCCCGAATGAACTTTTTGGCCAACCCAGTACTCCTATTCCCTTATACTTTATTCTCCATGAGGCAGCCAAAATGAGTATTTTAAAATATTAAATCAGATTTTGTAACTTTGCCATCTAAAACTCCTCAAAGACTTTTGATTGCATTTAAATATAAATAAAAGAGGAAAAAGAACTGAATCTTTATGGCTGGTGCCTTGTCTACCTTTCTAGGCTCATTTCGTACCATACTCTGTCTTCCTAATGATCATCATAGGTAGCTGTACTGATTTCAGTTCAGTTCCTTGAATATGGTAAGCTTTCTTTTGCCTCTTTCTTTTGGATTCTGAGTCTTTGTAACAAACTTACTGATCTCTGTACTTGAGAAGCTCTTCCCTTGGTTCTTCCTTTTTTTTTTTTTGGTTCTCAGCTCAAATGTCACCCAAGGGAGGTCTTTCATAACTCTCATAGCTAGGTTCATCTTCCTTTCCTTCCTGCCCCAAAATTTTATTGTGTCTTGTATAGCCCTATTGTAATTATTTTATTTTTTATAGATTTGTTTATGACTATTTTCTCATTAAAATATGCTCTCATAAAGACAGAGATTTTATCTATCATAAGTTTCTCAAAGATACTGTTAAGTCCTTTAAGCTGGTATAACCTATGTAATGTATATTTAGCTATTTGATGGTCTTTATAGTTTCAGTTCCATTTCATTCATTCTGGATGTTTCCAGTAGGTTCCACAAATTTGATGAAATGTAGGGAAGATGCTGTGAATAGATATCCAGTAATTTATTGTTTTTGGATTCATTATTTGCCCTTAGCCTTCCAGACAACATAAGACTGGATACTTTTTTCTTACTTTGTTCCAGAAATACTTTATGGTAACTTATGGAAATACTCCTAAAAAAGCATTTTGATACGATGAAATCAGGACAGGTAAAATATGGGTAGGAGAAAAAATGGAGCCACAGTGACATGAATATATAAAGTACGTGCCTGAAGAGTAGTGTTAGAGGGGCCACTGAATTGACTTTGAGTTTTGTAGCTGAATTAGGAAGATAATATACTCAAGTGGAATTTGAAGTCAGTTGGTCACTCTTTTAAAATTTTAATTTCTTCACCCTTTGTATTCTTGAATTTTATTTTTATTCACATAGACCATTTGAAACTACATTCTGTATACATAGCACAGAATCTGATTAGACATTTTGTTTCTTATTCGTGGTCTTTTCTTGAATGTTTAACAAAAGATGGTGCTTTTGAAAGTATGGTTATAAGATTACCTATTTAAAGACCAGAAAGGTATGAATATGAGCTGAAACTATATAAGGTTAAAATGAGATCTTCATAATTTTATTTATAAAAAATATTTCAAAGTAACTACAAAATATTTTTTTCTTTTTCAATAATGCCTATCAGACATCAGTTTTAGCTGTTTCCCAAACTAAGCCTTTGTGTGTTATTTGTAATTTTTTCCCATGGTAAGGAGCTTCTTGTAATGAGAGTGTGTTAAATGAGACAGTCATTCTAATGTGTTATACTTTAATTTCCTCCTTTGGTCTT